ATTCCAAGCCGAAGAGTTTAAAAGGCCCTGAGATGGGAATACAACTTGGTATGCTCAAGGGAGAGAAAATGGCCACATTGGTTGGAGCAAAGCTGTTGAGAGATGAGGTCAGAACAGACAGTATCAACAACCTGACATTTTCAAATTTTATTTCTCATGACATGGGAAGTTTCTGGAATAAAGTGGTACTTCAGAATGTTCAGTCTAGCCATAGTTAGAGGTGTGGGAGTGGGGTTGCTTGAGGGAGGTCTGTGAGGCATGTACAAAGTTCCCAAATTGAAAAAGAATGTGCCATGTCCATGGGATTGAAAGGAAATCAGCTTGGGGTAGAGACTATATTTATACAAGAGAGCACCAACTGATGTAGAGGCCCACTCTGCTAAGTGTGGTAAAGGATTTGGGTTTGGAATTTAGACTTAAAATCTGAAATGCAATGGAACTCAAAATGGTTATAAATGGGGAAGGAATGAAAACCATGATTTATATTTGATTTGTATTTGAAAAAAAGATTACTCTGGCTGTTATGTGGGAAAAGGAAAAGAGAAGAAGGCCAAGGGGGAAATAAGGACCTGTTAGGATATTAAGAGTCTACTTACTGCAGTGGCTCAAAGTAGTAGTAATGGTGGCGTGGACTAGGGGTGGGAGGTTAATAATGGAGATGGCAAATTGTATTTGGATTCTAGACATTGTAAGATTGAATCAACAGGGCTTACCAAAAAGGATGCTGGGATTAAGGAAATGAGAAGAATCAAAGATGACTCCCTTACATAGATAAATGGTTAATTCTACAATGTGACGCTATCGATTTCTGGTTACTATGTTGATGTTAAATTGAAGGTACAAGATACAGATGCCAAACATTTCTGACCACCCTCCCTTAAAAAGAAAACAAAAGGAAACAAGGAAAGGCAAATTTCAAATAATGTAGATAGATACTATGGTGGAAACTTCTAGAGATCTGGGATTTAAAAACCACAGCTGCTGACTTCAGCTTAGGTCATGATCTCATGGTTTGCGGGTTCAAGTCCCAAATCAGGCTCTATGCTGATAGCTCAGAGCCTGGAGCCTGATTTGGATTCTAGGTCTCCCTCTCTCTCTGTCCCTCCTCCTGTTCATGCTCTGTCTCTCTCAAAAATAAACATTTAAAAAAAAAAGTTATTAAATGAATGAATGAATGAATGAATAGCCACAACTGCTTCTTTATCAGCCAAACAAGCTAATTTTAGGCCACGCTGTGGCCAGGGTGAGACACATCTCCACCTTTAGGCAACTGATAGACTAAAAGACCCCTAGAAATAAGACAAGAAGTGAAAATCATTCAAGTAAAGAAAAATAAATCTTTAGCAAAGACTGAAGAAAAGTTTCCCAAATCAATATTCAATCACAGAACAGAATTTTTCATGCTGAAACAAGAATCTGAATATATTCATTCACACTAGAGACAGATAAAAAAAAAACACTGTGCTTTTTTAGGAACTGGAAGCAAAGCATTTAATGTTGAAGATAGCATTTTGAATTATGAGTAATGGGTTTTTCATGCTAAAAGCCTTGAATTACTACTGTGGTATGTCCCAGATTTCTTAACTTGGAGCCTTCTCCCTGGATTGTCAGCATGCAAACTTTCAGAAGCAAAGAAAACAGAATCAGCTAGCACAATACTAACCTCTTAAAAACTATCAACTGCAAATTTTAACCACTCATTCCTAATCTTTATTGGAAAATTGATATTTCAAATTAAAAGCAGTTTTACATATGAAAACCTAGACTAAATGAAAATTTCCTTTTAAAGTGCTTTTCTACAAAAAAAGGTTATATTAATAATGTCTAAAAATCAAACAATTCTAAATTAGAAATGTTACCATTTCTGTGCTATACTTGAGATTTACAGGTACAGTAGAAATCTTTTCTAGATTAATTACGGTTGCAAAACAAAGTCTTCTGGGAAGGTTCTCTTTAAAAAAAAAAAACAAGTGTTACTGTTTACTTCTAGATGTTACAAAAACTAAAATGACAGGGCAAAAAAAAAAATTTTAAAGCCACAGGACAAAGAACAGAAGGGAAAGTTTGTGTAAGACAGAGTGTAGGAGGAAAAGGACAAATTTAGTAGGTCAAAGGTTTTATGTATTATATAAAGAAAAATGTATCCTAAAAAAGTTATGTGCACTTTTGTTTCTGTTGTACATACACTCACATATACATGTACATGTATATTGAGTCACAGGGTCACCATGTAAAATATATCTCTTACTGCCAAACACTCTGAATATTATTAGTTTAAGGTGTACAGAGAGATGATGCAGTTTAGAGGAAAGCCAACCAGTGTGGCAGAGCCTAGGAGGAGCTTGGAATACTGACTCTGTAGGGCCGATGCTGAGATAAGGGCCGGTGATTTAAAAAGGCGGGGGGGAAGGAGCAGGGGTCAGGAGAAGTTGGTTGAAATTTAGAATAATGGACATCCTTTCCCTTGAGATAAGCTTTAATTATAAGGAAACAGAATATGAGGCACAGTTCATTTCCGGAGTTATTTCCCAGTTAAGGTAAGGGGGAAAAAAATCAGTGATCATCAGGTGGATTGTGCTTCAAAGAGAATCTTTAAAATGTCTATATTTTAGGGGCATCTAGAGGGCTCAGCTGGTTAAGTGTTTGACTTCAGCTCAGGTCATGATCTCGCGGTTTGTGAGTTTGAACCTTGTGTTGGGCTCTGCTGACAACTCAGAGCGTGGAGCCTGCTCCAGATTCTATGTCTCCTCTCTCTGCCTCTACCATGCTTACACTCAGTCTCTCTCTCTCAAAAATAAATAAATAACTATAAAAAAAAATTAAAGAATGTTACTCTCAACCATACATTCTGAGCATGTAATGCATCCCTGCTCTGCCATTTACATGCTGAAGATGTTGGTTAAGTTATTTCAGTATGTGTCCATTTCATTATCTGTAAAATAGGGATAACTCAAGAGGAAAGAAAACATTTACCTACACAAAGATTTGTAGCAGCTTTATGGTGAATAACCAACTTATGTATAACAATGGACTATTACTCAGCAATAAAAAGTAATGAACTTATTGATACACATAAAATCATTGGTAATTCTCATAATTATACTGAGTAAAAGAAGCCAGACAAAAAAAATGGGAAAAAAAAAAAGACACTTTATGATTGTATTTATATACATTACTAGAAAATGGAAACAGCAAAAGAATGATTGCTTGGAGATCAGAAATGGGGAGGAAGAAGAGATTACAAAGAGGCTTGAGGTGATGGATTTGTCTATTACCTTGACTGTGATGATAATTTCACAGATTTATATATACGTCAAAACTAACCAAACTGTATACTTTAAATATGTACAGTTTATTATATGTCAGTTATACCTCAACAAGTTTAAAAAAAAAAAGGGAATAATACATCTCACAAGGTCATTTTGAGTATTTAATAGGTTAATATATATGTTTTTTTTTCATGTTTTATTTATTTCTAAGAGAGAGAGAGAGAGACAGCGTGAGCAGGGGAGGGTCAGAGAGAGAAGGAGTCACAGACTGNAATAATAAATTAAATAAAAAATAACATAAAAAATGCAGTTGTATTGTAAATATTAGTTTATATGTGTAAAATAAGTGTTATACTCAAACAGTTTTATAGCTTGGGAAAATCTAAATTAAAAACATTAAAAATTTTTTTTTTAATGTTTTATTTATTTCTAGGAGAGAGAGAGACAGCATGAGCAGGGGAGAGTCAGAGAGAGAGGGGGAGTCACAGACTGAAACAGGCTACAGGCTCTGAGCTGGCAGTCAGCACAGAGCCCAACGCGGGGCTCGAACCCACGAACCGCGAGATCATGACCTAAGCGAAAGTCGGACACTTAACCGACTAAGCCACCCAGGCGCCCCATAGGTTAATATATATGTAAAACAATATTCGCTACAAAATATTGCTATTCTAATTTTAAAGTCTATGATTCACACTTGAATACAAATTTTAAAATATCATTGTATTTCTATGGGGCAAACCTTACACAAACTAACTAAAAAGTTTTAAGGGCTCCTGGGTGGCTCAGTCAGTTCAGCATTGGACAGTTGGTTTTGGCTCAGGTCATGATATCACGGTTCATGGAATTGAGCATGTCGGGCTCTGTGCAGACAGTGCAGAGCCAACTTGGGATTCTCTCTCTGTCTCTGCCTGTGCTCCCCTGCTTGTGCTCTATCTTTCTCTCTCTCTCAAAAATAAAGAAATAATCTTTTTAAAAAGTTATAAACACATTAAAGGAAATATTTTAGCTAAAGACTCTCAAAGCAATCAAAGGATTATATTAACTTTTTTTTACTGAGTGTGAGCAAAGTATGGTGCTAAATAAAGGCTCTACATAGATTATTTCATATAATCCTTAGAACAATCTTTAGAGGTAAGTGGCATTATTTCTATTTTACATAGGAAGACATAACAGCCTGACAGTGTTATTTAACTTGCTCAAGTTCAAAGAACAAGTGGAAAAGGTAAAACACCCAGCCAGATTTCATGGACTCCCAAGACCATGTCAGTATTTATTTATTTTTCTTTTTTTCTTTTTTCTCAGAGAGAGCACAAGCAGAGGAGCAGAAGAGGGAGAGAGAGAGAATCTTAAGTAGGCTCCAGGCCCAGCACAGAACCAGATGACATGGGGCTCGATCATGACCTGAGCCAGTATCAAGAGTCAGACATTTAACCGACTGAGCCGCCCAGGCACCCCTGTTTATTTTTAAAGTAATCTCTACCTCCAACATGGGGCTTGGACTCATGACTTCGAGACCAAGAATCACATGCTCCCCTGAGGCATCAGGTGCTCCATGTTAATTTTTTTTTTTTTTTTTTTTTTTTTTACTTCACTGAAAGAAGGTGACCTGATTGCTGGCTTGACAAAGGAAAGTCTCAAAGAATCTAAACAGGTGACAAGGAAGGATTTCACTGCCAATCCTTCAGGAATTTGGTATTCTACTTATAAGGTAGGTGAAATAGCATCACTTACCATATCTGTAGCTTGATCTTCTTTCCTTGTAATTCAACTGTTTTGATCTTAAAGTCTATTCCTACAACACAGAAGAAAAAAAGGTAAATTATATCTATGGCTCTGAACGTGGCTCTCCTAAAATTAACTTGGAAATAAAAATAAAAATACACTTAAACATCTGTGTTTGTTTGGCTCTTGATAGCCTTTAAGTTTGCAAATTCTGAACAAATAATTCAATTTTAAAGATCCAACATGGCAGAAGAAATAGCTATATAAAAAGAGTAAGTTTTTATAATAAGAAAATGAAAAGGCAAATTTTAAAATATCTAATTTTTTTTAAGTAGGCTCCACACACAAGTGGGGCCTGAACATCCTGACTTTGAGATCAAGAGTCACATGCTCTACCAACTTAGCCAGTCAGGCGCCCCTAAAATATCTAATATTTTAATGCAAAAACAAAACAAAAAAAAATGTTTTCCACTAGGAAAAATAAGCCTTAACTAGCTTCCCAAGCAAAAAAACTACCACCAGGGATAAAGAGGGTCATTTCATAATTATAAAAGGGTCAATTCATTAAGAAGGCAAAAATACTAGATGTTTATGCATCTTATAACACAGAGCTTCAAAACACATGAAGCAAAAGTAATACAGATCGCCCAGATCTGTCTGCTCCTTAACCAACCAAAATCTTCAGCTTAGGTTCAGTTTCCCACAATCAAATCAAAAGAAAAAAAGGACGATGTGCCTGGCAGTTGTAAACCTTAGACTTTTTCTACACCCCATATTTTTGTTTCTCTAGGAATTAGTGAGACTCTATGTAAGACTAACAATTCCAATTAGGCATGCAATTTGTTAATTAACCTATACAACAAACCTAACAACCAATACTATTTCAGAAAACTTCTCCAAACACAGGTGAAATTAGGACACGGTCTGAAAGCTCCAAATCTTTTGAGAGACAGAAACCAGGTACAACTGAAAAATTAAGATTTTAGGCTATTTTAAGCTACCTACCTCATCCCAGGCTCTTTGAGTTTCTCTTTTCTCTCTCAAAGTTGTCTATCCTCAAACTAATTAGCAGTGGTTAAAGCAGTTCTTCATTCTTTCCTGCACAAAAACTCTCCTTGCCTACCTCTGGCCATTCATTCTTCCTTACTAGTTTCTCCTTGCCTCTCTGAACTTTTCTAGAAATTGAAGTGAATTTTTCTATCTTCACTCATTCCCATGGTGATTTTCCCTAATTTCATAGCTTTAAATTTCAAATATGCACTAGTAACTCTCAAATTTATATCAGAGCCCAGACCTTTCTCCTAAACTCCAAACTTGAGATCAACTCTTTATTGGCTATCTGCAAATCCCATCTTTCACAAAGACTCAAGCAAAAACCCTTAAAAGGCCCTACACATTCTGCCCACCACTCCCATTTTCCATGCTGTTCTCATAATTTATTGTATCTTCCTTTGATCTAGCTAACTATATGGTTGTTACACACACAGATCAGAAAGATTCCCACCTCAAGAACTTTGCATATAACTGTTCTCCCAACTAAGAACACTGTTCTCCATTATGGCTCCTTCTTCCTTGCTGTCCTTTCCTAAGTGGCAACATAAGTCTCATACCCCATGTCCACTGTCTATTAATGATCCCTACCATTCTTCCTTACTTTTTATTGCTAACATCCCTCAAATATGCTATATTTACTTATTCCTGTTATTTTCTATCTCCCTATGCCAAAATATAAAATCCACAAGGGTAGCAATTTTTATCTATTTAATTCAGTTAAATTCCCAGCACCAAGAGCCTGACATAAAAGCAGGCATTCAAAAAGTATTTGAATGAAGAGATAAATGATGTTTTTAAAGAAAGTGAAATGGTACCCGGGAAATGATCTATATAGATGGGTGCCTGGGTGGCTCAGATGGTTGAGAGTCCAACTCTGAATTTTGGCTCAGGTCGTGATTCCAGGATTATGGCACTGAGCCCTGTGGTGGGCTGTGAGCTGAGCATGGCGCCTGCTTAAGATGCTCTCTCTCCTCCTCTGTTTTGCCCTCTTCTCTACTAAAGCTCTTAATAATAAAAAAAAAAAAAGCCAAAACACAAAGGACAAAGGTTCCAATGAGATACCAAAAACTAAACAAACCAAAAAAGGGAACCTGAAGGAAACAGAGGCAATGCAGAGAAAAGGAAAAAGTAGTTCCCTTTGTCTTCTTAGAACAAAATGGGGGGTGAGGGGCGAAGAAAGAAAGAGAAAGGAAAACGAACTAGGAACAAACTAGAACCAGAAAAACTCCTGGAAATTAAAAAAAAAAAAACAAAACAGGTGAAAACAGGTGGAAGAAGTAATATATTCAAACAGAAACACTAAGAGACAACTGAGATCCCATAGAAAATATAACAAAATGACAAAGAATGGAATTTATGTGATATATACGAAGTTAGAAGATCAAACCAGGAGGTTGGATATCGAACTAATAGAAGTTCAAGAAAAAACAAAGATAATGACATACAGAAAATAATAATTTAAAAACTGCAAGAAGGGAGCTTGGTGTCTCAATCAGTTAAGCGTCCAACTTCAGCTCAGGTCATGATCTCTAGGTTCATGAGTTCAAGCCCTGCATCGGGTTCTGCAGTGACAGCTTGGAATCCCTGGACCCCCAAGCCTGCCTCAGATTCTCTGTCTTCCTCTCTCTCTCCGCCCCTCCCCCACTCACCCTCTGTCTTTCAAAAATAAAAACATGAAATTTTTTTTTTTTTTTTTACAAATAGTTTATTGTCAAATTAGTTTCTACATAACACTCAGTGCTCATCCCCAAAGTGCCCTCCTTCATGCCCATCCCCAACATGAAATTTTTTTAATAAAAACTGTGAAAGAATTCTGCACAGCAAAGGAAATGATCAACAAAACTAAAAGGCAATCTATGTAATGGAAGAAGATATTTGCAAATGACACATCTGATAAAGGAGGGTTAGTAAAAATATAAATAGAACTTATAAAATTCAACATCCCCCAAATAATCTAATTAGAATATGAGAAGACATGAATAGACATTTTCCCAAAGAAGACATACAGATAGCCAACAGGTACATGAAAAGATGCTCAATATCACTTATCATGAAGGAAATGCAAATCAAACTACAATGAGATATCACCTTATACCTGTCAGATGGCTAAAATCAACAACACAAGAAACAACAGGTGTTGGCTAGGACATGGAGAAAGGGCTCCTGCACTGCTGGTGGAAATGCAAATTGGTGTCGTCACTCTGGAAATGAGTATGGAGGTTCCTCAAAAAGTTAAAATAGAACTACCCTACAATCCAGCAATTGCACTACTAGTTCAAAGGAATATATGCACCCCAATGTTTATAGCAGCATTATCTACAATAGCCGAATTATGGAAAACACCCAAATGCCCACTGAATGATGAATGGATAGAGATGTGGTATGTGTGCATGTGTGTGCGTGTGTAACAGAATATTGCTCAGCCATAAGAAAGCCATAAGAAACAATGAAATCTTGCCATTTGCAACCACATGGATGGAGCTGGAAAGTATTATGCTAAGTGAATGAATACCATATGATTTCATTCATATGTGGAATTTAAGAAACAAATGAGTAAAGGGGGTAAAAAAGGAGAGAAAGGCAAACCAAGAAAGACTCTTAACTATAGAGAACTGATGGTTACCAAGACGGAGGTGGGTGAGGGAATGGGTTAAATATTTGTCAGGGATTAAGGCATGCACTTGTGATGAATACCAGGTGATATACAGAACTACTTAATCACTGTATTGTACTAAAATTACACTGTATTTTAACTAACTGGAATTTAAGTAAAAACTTTTAAAAAGCTGTGCAAGAAAAACATAACAGAAGCAAAAGAATTTATTTTAGACTGACTCTCACCAAATGCTTGCCTAATGAATAAAATAGGATGTATATACTAAGTAATACCACCATAAAATTTCAAGATACCAAGAATAAAGATATTATAAAAGCTTGCAGACACATAAACCAGGCCATATTAAATCAAAAGTGACAACACTGGGGGCACCCTGGTGGCTCAGTCAGTTAAGCATCTGACTTCAGCTCAGGTCATAATCTCCTGGTTTGTGGGTTTGAGCCCCAGATCAGGCCCTGTGCTGGAAACTCAGAGCCTGGAGCCTGCTTCACATTCTGTGTCTCCCTCTCTCTCTGCCCCTCCACCAGTCACACTCTGTTTCTGTCTCTGTCTCTCTCAAAAACAAGCATAAAAAAAAAAAAAAGTGTGTTGTTGTTTTTTTTTTTTAATGTTTTATTTATTTCTAGGAGACAGAGAGAGAGATAGCGTGAGCAGGGGAGGGTCAGAGAGAGAGGGAGTCACAGACTGAAACAGGCTCCAGGCTCTGAGCTGGCAGTCAGCAAAGAGCCTGATGCGGGGCTTGAACCCACGAATCATTAGATCATGACCTAAGCGAAAGTCGGACGCTTAACCAACTAAGCCACCCAGGTGCCCCTCTGTCTGTTTTTTTTTAAAGTGACAACTCTGAACTTCTCAACAGCAACAGCAACACTAGAATACAGAAAAGATAATGTCTTTAAAAATTATTTTCAACCTGGGACACCTAACTGGCCCAGTGGGTACAGCACATGACTCTTAAATCGATTTCAGGGCCCTAAGTTAAGCCCCACATTGGGTGTAGAGCTTACTTTAAAAAAAAAAAAAAAAAAGTATTTTCAACCTTTTTCCAGACAAAAATCAAGTGAGTAAAATAATGCATTTCCAGACATGAAACATCTCAAAAGAGTTAGTTCCCATGCATCTCTAAGACAACTACTAGGAGAGGATGCTTTGTCAAAAACAGGAAGAAAAGAAATCCAGCAAAGAGTGAGGTAAATGGCAGTTCAAACTTGCCTAGAGAGCAACCAGTTTAGAAGCGAATGAGGACATAAAAGAACAGAATAAAATGAGAAGACGCTCCAAAAAGTATGCCTACTAAGAGAGGGAGGGGAAGAAATGGTATTCATGGAATTTGTATGAAAGTGGAAATTTAAAGAGCTTGGCAATTCTGTTGCTGATTTTGGATAAAGTATGTATAGTGT